GCCCTTGTGGGGTGTGAGCGATGGTTATTTATTGATCCCTCGGAGGATTTGTAGAACCTCGTATGTTGCGATGGTTATATTGATTCCTCGGAGAATCTGCAGAATCTCGTGCGCCCTTGTGGGGTGTGAGTGATGGTTATTTTTGGTTCTTCAATTGAACCTGCTGAAATGAGTCGGTACTGCATTTGCATTTGCATCTGCATAGAGTCGTGTGTCGGTCTCTATGAGTTGCATGGTGTCATCTTCATATGATACATTGGTGAAATAAACATGAATGTAGATGTTTATGTGAATTAGCAATGGAATAAACATGTTGTGTGCTTTTATTGAGTTAATGTGTATGTTTATGTGAATTAATGCGAATTGCGGTAATAGCATGAGTGAGTATGCTTGGAGATATGTATATATATGTGTGTGAAAGATATTGACTAATGAATTGCTGATTAAGTATGATTGTATATGCTTATATGATTTGCGGTAAATGAAACATAATGTATATGTGATTGTTAGGAGAAGTGTGCATATATATATATATATATATATATATATATATATATATATATATATATATATATATATATATATATATATATATATATATATATATATATATATATATATATATATATATATATATATATATATATATATATATATATATATATATATATATATATATATATATATATATATATATATATATATATATATATATATATATATATATATATATATATATATATATATATGATATGTTGATGTGGGAGTGGTGAGTGTGTGAATTGTTTGAGAAATGTGGCATATATGTATTTTATGATTGTTTATATACATAATTATATGCATTGTTATTATGGTAATATTTCTCACCCTTCTGCTGTTTTATGATGCTCTATGAGGCATTGCAGATTAGGATTGCTGGAGGTTTCTTTTGGAGTATAGCTCCTTTTCTCTTGAATCGGTCCCTCTGATATGTAACATCGGGTAGCTAGGCTTGTAGAGTCTCTTTGTGATACATTATATATATGTAATAGTTGATGGTGTTTGGTAAACTGTGATTGATGTTATGGACAACCTAATGGCGTGTACTTGTATTTTATCATGTCTTAAGTAATTCAATGTTTTAGTCTTCCGCTTTAACAGAAAACATGAATATGCTTGTTTTAAGAACCGTGCGTTTATTTCTTTTTAGTTGAGATTTACCCCTTTTGAATTATTTCTTTATAAACATTAACATTCATGTGGTCGTTTCGTGAGTAATGTGACGCACTTCTTTTATACCATGAAATAAATATACTCTGATGGAATTTTTAATTCGTGCCTAAATGATTTAATTGTGTTATTTAGGGGTATAGAAATGGGGTGTTACACTGAGACATTGTAAGGATTGTATGATGACCCTATGACCATTGCATTGTCACTAAAAATTGACATATTTGTATGAAGGTTAGCCATCATCGACGTTGGCATACCATAAGGGTAATCTCTACCACTTGTTGGCATTGAGAACCCAAATAAAATCTTGCAATTGTTGGGTTAAAAAGAGCATTCCCTGTTTGCAGTGGGGGAGTTGCCCCTTGTGACATTGTTGGTGCGGTTGGCGTCGTTGACACCATTAGAGTCGTTGTCCTAACACTTGCTGAGACAACCAGCTTTTCAATTGTTGATACGTCTGGTTGTTCTACTATATTTCGGGGATTATTGTTACCTATAGGGGGACGCGAGATTTTGGACAAATTTTTTCACTTCTTAATCGCATGTAAACTACCTAGAAAATTTCATGAATATAAAACAAGTTTATAAGAGAAAACTGTGAATATTTGTAAAAGATAAATGTTTTAGCACAGGTCCCACTGGGTGTGCCAGTTTGTTTACGCTGAAAATTGGTAAACAACTACTAGTTTCTTAACAAAGATTACTTGTAGGGTCAATTAGGGAATCCCATGACATAATGCAAAACCTTGTTTTATAATTTTCAATTGAGAAAAGCCTAAGTTCGACTTGGTTGAAATAATGATAAAATGGTTTTAAAATGTAGATTCAACAATATTAAAAATGAGAAACGTAGTAAGAACCGAAAGTAAGAGAAACAATGCAATTGAACAAAGATGAAAGTAATTGTACAAGAATAGTAAATCGAATTTAAAGATTTTGCATTGAAATAAAAGTGGTGTTTCAAGGTTCATACATTCTCTCAATGGTAACTCTGTTTTTTAAACGCTGGTACTTCGAGTGTAAGTGAGGTTTTGTAATGAAATGACACCCGAATTATACAAATAAAATTCCTATTTATACTAGTACTAAATAACTACTTCAAACGTTCACATATTCAGCTTTCGCCACGTAGAAGCCTGCATGTAATCTGTTTTTGCATTCTCTCCACGTGTCCTTCAGAATGGAACACAAAAATAGTTTTCTGTATTTGAACATGATATATGTGCTCCCAAATAATCGCTTCTTTGACGCACTTGATGCTATCGAGAACATTGTTGTCGAAATATTTCCAAAATATTCCCAAAAAATACTAAGTCTCAAGTTCTTTCAATATGAGGCTCCAACTGTGTACACGTCATCAATGATTCATGTACCTTTATCTTTGTCTTATGTTGAGATTTTTTCTCTTGTTGAAAAATCCCAATTAACAGATCCCTATTGGAACCAACCATAACTTATAGGGGTGGACGAATTTGAATAACCTGATTAAAACCGACCGACTCAATTTCTTTTTTGTGCAAACAGATCGGGTCGGATCCATTGCTGAGTTGATTCGGTCGCTAAATTTGAATAATAAATTATTGTTTTGGTCAGACTCAAATGATTATTTAGGATCCGTCGAAAATCAAAATCGATCGAGCCTAATTAATATTTATTTAATTTATTTTTATTACTATATGGCTGACTCATTTTAAAAATGAGATTCATAATATAATAGATTATTATCATTTTTATAATGTAATGATGACATACATTTATATTCTCAAAAGTAAAAGACATGCAATATAAAACTTTGAGTATTATTTAGTTTATAGTTTAAAGTATGATATTATTCAAATTAATATCAAATGATAATGAAATATTATCACGTAATAATAATCTTTTAATAGTAAAAAAATAGTTTTTTTAGATTTTATATATATATATATATATATATATATATATATATATATATATATATATAAAAGTAAATATTAGTGAATTTTATAAAAGATAATTATTCTCATAAGTTTATTCTCAATATTAAACCCATTAGATTAAACCAACAAATTGATTACTCACATTTAAAAAAAATGAAATTTAACGTTGAAATTGAACTATTAAAATGAAACCGTAACTTGCAGATTTAAAATTTAGATGTGAGTTTTGAAATACGATCTTGTTAAAAGTGTTGAATAGCTAGTTATCAGTTTATAAGTGAAGCCAGTTGCTCTTACATAATGTGATATGAAAAGTAGGGGTGAGAATAAACCATACCAACTAACAGAGATTTACGGTCTAGTCTACGTAGATGCAGGTTAGACCAGGTTTTTTTTTAAATAGAAAAAGTCTAAATTTTTTTATAAGCCTATTTAACTAAAGAAAAGTCTTTTAAGCCTATTAAGTCAGCACATTTATAAAAATTCAATAAATTTATTATTATTATTATTATTATATTATATTTTGTACTTTGAATTAAAATACGAAAATAAAACTTAACTTAAGAGATTTACGGTCTAGTCTACGTAGATGCAGGTTAGACCAGGTTTTTTTTTAAATAGAAAAAGTCTAAATTTTTTATAAGCCTATTTAGCTAAAGAAAAGCCTTTTAAGCCTATCAAGTCAGCACATTTATAAAAATTCAATAAATTTATTATTATTATTATTATATTATATTTTGTACTTTGAATTAAAATACGAAAATAAAATTTAGTTATTTTGAAAAACTTAAGAAAATAAGTTGAAAAATCATTGTAAACAATGTCATAAGTTGTTGTCATAAATTTTTTTCCATAAGTTCTCTCCAATAAATAGTATCACCAAACTTATACTAATAAATAAACTTGAATGAGACAATGAAAACAAACATTTAGTTTCAATGATCTTTTAATTTGTTAGTCTATTTAATATTAGTTAAATTTTTTATTTACAAACATTTAAGTGAAGTAGGCTTTTAAATAGACTAGTAGGTCAATCAGACATTTGAAAATGACAAATTTAGACATAAAAATAAACTTATGATAAAATACAGACTTAAACTTTAAATTTTTTAACAGAGTAGACTCAGACTTAGTAAAATTTAGTTCGGTAGAGACTATTTTCAAAAAGTGACAATGTAGATACGGACGGAATGTGTGCGGTCTATGCACATCAGTTAGAATTTTTTATTGTCTTGCCCTCTTTTTGGATACAAAATACCAAATAGCCATGCATTTCAATGTAAATGCTAAACTATCACACTTTTAAAAAAAATTCATTTTTATTATAAAGGTGTCGCCTATTGAATAGGCAGCAGTGTGTAAAAAAAGTACTTTTCGCCTATTGAATGGGCGACACTGTATAATCAAAAATACTTTTTTTTTAAAATGATGGGTATTTGATATTTTGTATTCAAAAAGGTGGTAAGAGGGTGAAAAGTTCACTTAGTTAGTAACAACACACAGAGTTAACCGAATGTAAAAGGAAGAATTGCAACAAGTGCTAGCGGTAGCGGTGAGGATAAAAAAGAGGCGAAAATAAAAGCATGTGTCCTATCATGTCATGTATTTTGTTATAGTAATTGATTTTTGAAGTGGATCTGTCAAAAAAAGAGGCGTGGTCGTAATTTTCAATCTCATGGAAAGAAACAAAAAAGTCAAGCACAACACAAATCGCGATCTTTCCTTCCTTCCCAAGTCCCTTCCCAAGTCCCTATCTGGCCACCACTATCAAAAACACCAATCCATTTAGAATAGCTCGTTTTTATCTTCCAAATAATCTCACACACACAGTTTCCAATACACACGTAACACTTTCCTGTTTTCTCCACAATGCTTCCTAACCTCTTAGTATTCCTTTTCTTATTACCCTTCTTACTCTCTTGTGTCCATTCACACGAAGAGTCGGGTCCTTGGAGATGCGATTCCGGGTCAGAGATCCGAATTGACTCCGACTTTCAACCCGGCGTTATTACACTCGATGGTCACGCCGACGATTGGAAGGACATTGAGGGGTCCAAGTTCGCTCTTCTCCCCGCCCTTGACCCTGACGCTGAAAACGAATTCAATGGCGGAAAAATGGCCGTTAAGGTATTAATTTATCCCTTTTGTTATTCACCAAATTTGTTTCTTTTACTCATCGTGCTCATTGTTGTTTTGTTTCAGAGTGTGCATGATGGCCGGGATATTTTCTTTTTGCTGCAAGTTGATAGTGATTACGCATACGCTAGTGGGTAAGGTGTATCACGCAAAGAAAACTGAATCTTGTTCCTGATTTTGTTTTGGTAGCATCATATTGGTGCCAATTGTACACCAATTCGTAGATGGTTCATCTTTATGGAGAAACCTAACTAGGCACCTTTAGTGTATGGAGCATTCAAAGTTGATTGTGAACATGTTTGGTTGTCCTGAAGTAGAATTTATTATGCTTTTCAAAATTGATTATAATTGAAGCTATGATTTGTAGCTTTTGAATCTAAACATCTTTTCAACTTCAAAAAAGTTATTCAAACATGAATCACTTTATCTTAAAAAAAAATCAATTTATTTAAAATCAATTTTCTTCACCGCACAACCAAACATATGCTTAGTGGGATTGGGATCTTCCCTCCCAAATCAATGTTGCGTTGGATGTGTGGTAAGATTTGACAAGATAGGATTAGAAATGAAAATATTAAAGAGTGTTGGGGCTAACGCCTATAGTAGAGAAGATGGTGGAAAATAGACTTAGGTGGTTTGGGTATGTAGAAAGAGAATCTGTAGATTTCGTGGTAAAGAGTATAGATTAGATGGAGGGAAGTCAAACAACTAGAGAAAGAGCAAGACCTAGAAAGATTATAAGAGAGGTTATTAAGAAAGATCTCGAGATTAACAATTTGGATAGAAGCATTGTTTTGGATAGAATATTATGACGAAAGTTGATTCATGTAACCCACTCCACTTAGTGGGTTAAGGCTTGATTCTTGTTTTTGTATAATACTCACACTCAAAACCTTACTTAGGTTGTTTGATTGGTTAATTGGCTTGATTTATTTATCTAGATAAAGTTATAAATAATGATTATGTTATTGAGGGTCCAACATGATTGGATATAAGGGAAGACAAAAATCTTTCTCATATTACTATATGATAAGACTTTAATAAGTTGGTGCGTTTTTTTGGTGATGCAGTGAAAGCAAGAAATGTCCCTCTGTTGCACTTATGTTTCCAATTGGGAATAATGCTTCCTATCATAATGTAAGTTGGTGTTCTCAACAATGTGTTCTTTGAACTTCACTTCATGTTTTTTAAATCTATGAGGGGCGGTTTGGATAAGCAAGTTAGACTTTGTTTGGGAGTATGAAGGGGAGGACTTTGGGAGGAAAGAAAGAGAAGAAAATAAAGAGAAATCTTCCATCTTATTCAAGAAAGTTATTTCGTAGAGAATGATAAGAGAATACTAATGATTAATATATTTTTAATTTTGTTCATATTAGAACAACATGAAGGATTTAAATTTTTTTTTTAAACCCTTCAATCCAAAACTTATTCGAGTTCCCCCAAATCATGGAGATTCTGTATTACGAAGAAAAGTGAACTTCCCATTGAAGTCGGTGTCTATCATTTCTTACTTTTTCTTAGGGCGGAGCGGACTCACAGACGCTGCACCTCTTAAGTCTAAAAATTACAAAAATTTATGTTATTGTTCGTGCCCGCAAAACCTAGCAAAAAAAGGGAGTGGGCATATTAGAGGGTGCAAATCTAAAACCTTGTCCCATCCTGCGAAAAAGTACGGGCAAAACGGACACGTTCGTTTTTCCTTTCCTCATTTTTTCAAAAGATCTCCCCTCCTAAACTCTCAGGTGAACCCTTAGGCTTTGTTTGCAAATTGAGTTTTGGAGGACTAAGTCCATATTTTGATAGAATATTTTATATATTTAATTGAAAGAACATGAAAAATGATCATATAATACTTCAATCACACTTAATTCATTTTTCAAAACATTTATAGTGTCCTTAATATATAAATAAGAAAAGTATGATCTCCCCTTGCCTTAAAAACTCAAGCTTATCTATTGACATTAACACTTGAGACTGTTCGGCAGAGCTTATGAAAATAGCCTATGATGTATTCATAAGCTTTTTTCAAATTATTTTTATAAGCTCTCCAAGATTGTTTGAAAAAGCTTATGGAAATAGTTTATGATATGCTCGTACGGTGTTTATAGATTTTTTCCATAAGCTATACAAGATAACTTATGAAAATAGTTTATAAATTTATATGAAAATAATTTTATTTTACCTTTTGTTATAGGAATAGCTTTGACATAAGTACTTATATGATAAAATTTTATATTATAAGTGCTTGATTAATTTGTTTATCTAACCATGGCATTAATTAAACACTTTCAGCTTATGGTAAACATATTTTTGTGTAAGTTGTTTTTGTAATTGAAGAAGGAATGTGAGTAAACTTTGTAAGAGCTTTATATAAAATATTTTTATAAGCTATTATGGGGAGCTTATAAAAAAAGTTGAAACAATTTAGGGACATCATAAATTCTTTTAAACACTTATATAAGTGGTTTTGTCAGAAGATTAACCTAAATAACTTCTAAACACATTTCATATCTCTTATCCCGATCTTACTGAAAGATCTTTGTGAAACATTGATTGATGAAAAAAAGGTGTTAATTGTTATAAGATGGGTGGCTGTGAGGAACATTCAACATCGTGCACAAGTAAGACCTGCAAAGGTCATGAAGTTGACATAATGCACTTTTCACTTGGAAATGCTATTCCAGGACGGCTTTATGGTGGGAATCCCATTAACAATAGGGATGGAAATGGCGGCGACAGGTGATTAATAGAAAATGTCCTTGACTTCCACCATATTAGTTGAGAATTTTAAGATGATTCCAACTATAACATGGCTATCTTTTCACTACACGTGTTCATTCAGTTTCCTATTATCGTCCATACAGGTTTGGCCATTTGGTTGATCTTTATGCCTGGAATCCGCATTGCAGATACTTGGATGGAATGGGCCCTGCAAATTCTGGTATGCATAAACGTAACATCTTTTGTTGGAATTGTATGTTTATATGATTAAATTAAACAGAGAGAATGAATGGGATTAAAACACCAAGTTGAAGTATCAACAAGTTCAATCCATCAGTATAACATTAGTTTGCTTATTGTTATCTTTCACATGCTTCGGCCGCAAAAGAAACAATGAGATATTGTTTTAAACCATGCATGAGAATGTAAACTAATTTATTCCTTTAGCTTAGCCATGTCAAATCAAGGTTTGTGTTTGATATAAATCTCTTCTAACTTTGCATTATTATAAAGTTCTTTCATACAAGCTTTTGTAAATTAAACTATCTTTGTCCCATGCATCCAATTTAAAATTGATGCTACATAACAAATGAAAGTGGATTTCGAAATGATTAAGCACTGATTGGATTTGAGCTTGAGCATAATGTCTTAAGTTACTTTAAAATTGCTTCTTCCACTTGGTGTTTTAATGCTATGCTAAGATTACGTAGACAACTTATTAGTGCCTAACTAAGATAAAGACGATAAGCAGATTGTTATCTTTGAAAGTGACATACAGAAGATTGACAAGTGCATTTGTTGGGAGTTGGTACCACACTTCATGATTCTCAACATATTAGTAGTCATACTTGCCTTTTTCATCATTTCCTTTATCTGTCTCAATGTGATTTTTTAATCACTTCTTTCATTTTGTGGACAAAATGACAAAATATAAGCCCCATAATGCCAAACAAGATTGTTTCTTTTCCTTTTCTTTGCAAACCATCATTTCGTTGAGTAACTTCTATCTCTGATCTCTATGAGAATTGTGAATTTACATACATATATATATATATATATATATATATATATATATATATATATATATATATATATATATATATATATATATATATATATATATATATATATATATATATATATATATATATATATATATATATATTGTGCATAAAATTGTTGGCCATTTTGTAGTTCCATTGATGTTTATGATTTGGGATTTCAGAAAATATCTCATTGTTTCATACTTTCAAAAGCTATGAATTAGGGTGATAACTAATAATGTATTTCTTTTTCAAAGAATTACAATGAGATATATAATATATAATATATACCCCCTACAATGTGGATTATACATTTAATCTTGTCTTCAAGTCCCTTAATTTGTTGATGATTTTCTACGATGTTATGAAATTTTTATTCTAGGGATACACATTAAGCATTGACCTTGTTCTGTTTTCAGATAATGATTCTAGTGCACAGAATGATTGGAAAGGTGCTTGGTGGCATAGCAGCTTTACAGTTCACTCAGGTAATTCTTTAATAGATCAAATAGCGAAGTAGATTATCCTAAGGTAATTCTTTAGTAGATCAAATAGCGAAGTAGATTGTCCTATCAATTATCTATAGTTGGAAGTTGAGATCAGATTGTGATAGAATTGAAGTTTGGCCTAATTCAACTCTATAAAACCGGCTTGTAAGGTGAGGAGTGTCATTCTATATAACTTGGGTTCTTTAACCGATGTGGGACTTGGGTTTTTTCCAATACATCCCCTCACACCCAACACTATTGGGCATGATGCGTCAATATAAACGGTGGATGGTTCAAATTATCGATATACGGGAGTTGGATTTTCCAATACACCCCTTTTGCACCTAGCACTTTTTTTGGGGGGGCTTGGGGCGCTTATATGAATGGTGGGTGGCCCGAATCGATAGGCTTTGATACCATGATAAAATTAGAGTTTGGCTAACCTTACAAAAACTGGTTTTGTAAGGTGAGGGGTGTCACTTTATATAAACCCTTTGTGGGTTTTATCTTTAATCAATGTGGGACTTGGGTTTTTTCCAATAGGCTGAAATATTGATTGGCGGTGAAATGAGTCTTGAAACAATATTTTCAGTGAGTCTTAGAAACAATATTTTCTTAGTAGTGGTGTGACTACAACCAAAATTTAAAACTTCAGTTAAAGTACACCGCCTTGGACCCGTGGATATTTTGTAGTAGGAGGAATACTCATAAAATTCTTGTGATATATATATATATATATATATATATATATATATATATATATATATATATATATATATATATATATATATATATATATATATATATATATATATATATATATATATATATATATATATATATATATATATATATAAAGCATAATTGTTCTCTACGATTTTTTATATTCTGAAAAAATTTAATAAATTTTTTATAGTCCTCGAGATTAATGATTTGGGTAGAAGCATGATCCTTGATAAAATATTATAACGAAAGTTGATCCATGTAACTAAACCCCCTTAGTGGGATAAGGCTTAGCAGTTGTTGTTGAATATTATAAAAGCCTCTCTCTTTAAGTAATTGAATAATTATTTAACCATTTCTCTCTCTTGATTTCATATTTGATTCTCGATGATATTCATATCATAGCAAAGAACTCATTCAATTATGTTGGAATTTCTGCTTTTATTGCGGTCTTCCCCTAGTCTCCTTTATATGGTATTTGGATTGTCGCTTTTGCAGTCTCCAACACGTTCATTATGATGGTTTTGAAGGGGTGGATTTAGTCCCATATTGCCTTGAGATATGGCTTGTATTGTGGTCATGAGTGGGGGCAATTCTCATCTTACAAGTCGGTTTTGTAGGGATGAGTTAAGTTCTGTTAAGAGTCCCACATCAGACAATATATGGCATGAACATGTATTTATAAGTGGGGGCAATCCTCACTCTACCAACCGGTTTTGTAGGGTTGAGTTAGGCCCAACCACACTTCTTAACATGGTATCAGAGCCTGGTTTAAGATTCGGTGGGCCACCTTCTATGGTTTCCGCTATCGGGCCACCCACCATTTATTTCCACGCTTCAGTTGTCCAGTCCTGAGCGTGAGGGGGTGTGTTAAGAGTCCCACATCAGACAATATATGGCATGAACATGTATTTATAAGTGGGGGCAATCCTCACTCTACCAACCGGTTTTGTAGGGTTGAGTTAGGCCCAACCACACTTCTTAACATGGTTCAATCCAAAATCTAAGATGGTATCAAAGCCTATCTTAGATCAGTTGTTGCACTTTCCGCATCGTCCACGCTTCTTGAGGGTGTGAATCTGAATTTCTGTTTTCATTGTGGTCCGCCCTAGTCGTCTAATTTGCACCATTTAGCTTGCCTTCATTGCAGCCTCCAACACCTTCTTTGTGTTGAGGTTGAGAGGTGGATTTAGTAGCATATTTCTTATAGATATGACTTGTGTTGTGTTTATAAGTGAAAACAATCCTCACCTTACAAGTCAGTTTTGTATGGATGAGAGACTCAACCCGCACAATTCTAAGATGGTTTTATAACCTATCTTAGATCACTTGTTGGGTTTCTCGCATCATCCACGTTTTAGCCTCATTGAGGCTCGATTTGGGGTGGGGGAATTTCCGTTTTCATTGCAATCCACCCCTAGTCACCTAAATTGTGGCATTTGACTTGCTTTTATTGTAGCCTCCAACACCTTTGTGTGGGGTTTGAAGGGGTGGATTTAATCCTACATTCCATAGAGACATGGTCTGTGTTGTGTTTATAAGTGGAGGAATTTTCACCTTAGCCGATTTTTATAGTTGTTTTTAATTTCCCTTTCAGTCATTTTAATGCTTAATACATTATATTTTTTATGAAGAAATAAATATGTTCATATGCATATATTTTAAGTAAAAAAACCAACAGGAGGGCTGGGGTTGGGTCTAGCCGAAGGAGGAAGGGGCTAGTCTCCTACAACGTGGCAAACTCCACCAAAGTCCGAATCTTGACTTGGAGAGACACTCATACTTAGTGTCCCTAAGTGCTTTGAATAGGATTATCTTAAGAGGAAACTTATGGGAAACCAAAACAATATATAATAAGTAAAAAATTTAAAATAGAGCATGAATTGTGAATGTCATGCATAGATGACATATAGCATGTCTCTGCATCATTTATGTCCTTTCTTGTGAAATATCTATACAGTACTTCAAAAATTTTCAAATGTGTTTGCCTACTGCTTTCAATAATTTATAATGTATTGATGCTGTTCCATCTAGGTAGGTTAATGTAATTCCCACTAAGTGCCAAAAGTTCGCTGATCCTTAAAAGAAGGATGATTGGTTTGTTATGAAAATTTCGTCTTCTGCAGTCCAGTCTTCCTAGTTGCCTAATTGTTGGATGTGAATGGGTGTATTTAGTCTCATATTGTTTACAGATATGACCTATGTTGTGTTTATAAAGTTTGGGTAACTCTCACATTACAAGTTGGTTTTGTAAGGGAGGTTGGAAATTCCGCCTTCATTGCGGTCCGTCCCTAGTTGCCAAATTTTGGCATTTTGGTTGTTTTCATTTGCAACCAACACCTTTTTGTTGGGTGTGAAGGGGTGAATTTAGTCTCGTATTCCTTAGAGATAGAACAATGTTGTGTTTATAAAGTTTGAGCAACTTTCACCTTACAAGTTGGTTTTGTAAAGTTGAGTTAGGCCATACTCAAATTTAAAGAGTTTCAAAGTATTTTAAATTAGTTAAATTAGTTATTCTTTGCTGAGGGAATCTAATATTATGCTAATCTTCACTCCACTCCAATAGAACAGGGAAATGAGCCGAAGTGTAGTGCATACGGAAGCCCTAATTTAGGATATTGAAACCCCTACGGTCGTCACGTTCACGTGTCAAAATGTTATTAACTGTTTGATCTTGATTGCACGGCTCAGAAAAAACAGATTTGATTTTTTCAAAATTACCAGTTTTAAATCAGAACCCGATCTTGATTGGATGGCCAGCCGTACTTGAATGCGTGAAGACATGATTTTTTTACTGCAAGAAATTTGGGTCCCTAATTTAGAGACTAATCTGATGACATTTTGTATTACTTAAAGATTATAGATACTTGGTTTAATTGAAATACTAAATTTTTTGTTCAAAAGGCTTCTTCTAATGTACACAAGTCAAATTGGTGTTGTATGATGGACAAGTTTTTTTCACCATTGGATCAAAGAGATCTACCAAATATTAGGGTGCACTAACTATACTAAATCCTTCTCTCCCAATCTCACCACACATCCAGTTCCCCTACCTCATAGTCATCCACATCACCATCTCCGACAGCAACCTTACCGCTGATCTCTTCTTTCCTCTTCCCCCCTCTTCCTCCTCTGTTTGTATGACCCACTTCCGCCCGATCCAAATCTGTATTAATGCAAAGAGAGGCAACAATTCAGATAAAATCTTTAAGTTGCCATCTTCACCTCGAGCAATCCACAAGGTCATATGAGGTGGCTGTTGCCGGGAAATTGGTTCCGGTTGAGGCTTGGGCTTGGGTTTGCAGTTTAGGAGGAGAGAAGGAGATATTGAATTTGAAAGAAGAGGAAAGGGAAGAACCAGTGAGGCAAGGGAGAACTCTGCATTATTAAGGGATTAAATTGCTGACTAAATCCATATTATGATTAAATCGACGGCTTGTATTTGGAGGAAAAAAAGTAGGGGTTTACTTTATTTTTCATGCTCAAGTATACTTTGGATTACCCATATATGATATGAATATTGATCACAGATGCATCGCTTAAAATATGAACTTTCGGTTTTTCTACCCTATCATTTAGTTATTCTGCATCATTTTGCTATAAATTATATTACTACTTATATGTTTATCTATAACAGGTTTTGTACATGATGAGAGTCCTTATGCAGAGAATGGAAAAAAGGGTACATTTTTTTTTGAATTCTCCAGGCCTTTGAGGACTATGGATCATCTGCAACAGGTTAGAATTTAGAAACCTATACGCCGCATTTTGAAGTTTTATTTTGCTTAGAGATTATGGATTTATTTGAAGTTCAACTAATTGTAGTGATATAGTTGAAATGTTGCAAGTGCATTGTTGTCTTAAAAGGTGCTGTATCTAGTGATATCTATCCCCGTGAATATTACAAACAAGTAAAATGGTACAAAATTATAACTTACAGGACGTGCAATTCACCCTTGGTGAATCAAGCAAGATGTCTGTTGCATTCTGGTATCCAGTAGACAATCAACCATGGCACGGTTCGGGACACTATTCGATTAACTGCGATTGGGTTGCAATCGATATATCTCAGAGCAGTTCCAGTTCTTTGAGTGGCAAGTCAGTAGACGTATCAGCAAGTAGCTCATGGAATATTGCAAGTGCATTTTCACTTATACTTTCATTAGTAGCACTTTGTGTGTCTGTGTTTGTGAGTTATAGAGTTTTACATCCCAAGGGTGTTCAATTTACTCCAATGGAGGAACTTTAAATATTGTATTAACAGCTTGAGTTTGAGATTGTACTATTCATTTGTGATTGTACTAGATAGGTTTGTAGTACTGTTTAGTGCTTTCTCTTGCCTTATTTTTAAATTCTATTTGAAGCATAACTTTAGTTATTTTACTCAGTGTCAGAAAAGTGTTTAGTTCCAAAGAAGTATAATGGAGCTCCATCCTGTGCTTAAAAAGTAAAATTGGATTAATAATAGACTAATATTTATAGCTGAACCAAATTAATGGTTGGTGTTATGTCATATAAGTATTTAATAATTAAATCTTTTATTGTTCATCACATATATTGCAAACTAGAGAAAAGGTCTAATAGTATTTTTTTCTCAACTGATATAAAGGAGATTAATATTCATATTACACCTATGCATTATGGTTGACAAAATATTGATTTTGATACACTATTAGTATGAAATATGTATATATCTTTCTATTAAGATATAGGATAGAGTACCACACTTGCATTTTCAATTGAGAGAAAGAGAGGCTTGTTGAGCTGCTATCTCCTCTATTTATGTGGGACTAACTCATTTTTTATATTTGTACACAGTTTGACTAAACAAATAAAATCAAGAGAAGTTTGAAATTCTTAATCAATGCCTAACAAATTATGTATATATAAGGAAGTTACTTAAATAGTAAAATTAAGAGAGCTTTTATGAATGCTAAATAATACTCCGTAAGTTTAAAATGATTATCAGTTTAAGATTTTTGTACAAACATTAAGGAAGTTACTTAAGCTCTGCGGTTAGTCTGCACTCTATGGACTTTTCAAACTTAGCGAACTGAAACATCTTAGTAGCTAAAGGAAGGGAAATCAACCGAGACCCTGTTAGTAGCGGCGAGCGAGAGCAGATTGGGGTTTGAAGAAAAACAAACACGAAGCTTCGTTTCTCTTTCGAGTATGAGAAATTCCACAGTAGCAAAGTGTTCACTTCTTTTTCGCCAGGTTTCATTTGATTTGTTGTGGATTGGATGATGGAAAAACTAATGCTGAATAATACTCCGTAAGTTTAAAATGATTATCAGTTTAAGATTTTTGTACAAACATTAAAGAATGTAATAATATTATCATAATACATTATATTTTTACTATATTAATCATATTAAAGGATTGAAAATAGTACATAGAATAATAATTAAAAAATATAATTGAAAAAGCTGTAATATATATTGAAATTTGAGAATAAATTTTATTTGCTAGAAGTTAGTCATTAATATGTTAGTATATTAGCACATACACAGCCAAAAACATGAGAAAACAACTAGAACAATGTATATCATTAGATTTGTCTTAAAAATACAAAGATAAATTAGGCTAAAACATTCAAAGGGTCGGAACAACTAAGCTAAAACATCTGAGCTTATTCTTCCATCCATCCTTTGTTCTCGTGAGCAATCAAGTCAGGATCAACCTCTAAGAATCATGTTTCAGAATTAGTTTCTTTTTCATAGACTTCCTCTTTTTTATAGCAATCTTCTTGTCAGTTGTAGATGACATTGCATCTGTTTTGTTGATAATAATCATTTCACAATTATAGAGACGAATTTCTTCTAGCACATCTAAATTAGATAATTATAGAGACAAATTTCTTCTAGCACATCTAAATTAGATAATTATAGAGACGAATTTCTTCTAGCACATCTAAATTAGATGTTGTCGCTTTTTTACTTTAGCTAGCTTAACTGTAAAGTAATATAAAAATATCACCTCATACGAACACTTCCAGAAATTGTGACATTGAGTGTGAGTTTCCATTGTCAATTGTGAAGTACAAATTTGAGCCAAATAGTGCATAATAAATAAGTTTTGTCAAATAACAAGTCTCCTAGCCAGTTCTAACGCCTAACTCTATTGAGTTGTTCAATTCTGAAAGAACCTGACAAACCACTACTTATCTTATTGAAACACAATCAATTCACATTGTCAAATCATCATGCTCGAAGTTATCTAGGCCTGCATGCTTCTGGACAGAAAATTTGTGCAGCTAGAATGGCCTTTTCACAGTGAACATCCCCTTCCAACTTCCCAGTTACAAGTTCTCTTGGTTGACATAAGAATCTTCTTTCAATACCGGCTCAATTTCAGGAGATGACTCTGATGCAGTAATGCAGGTTTTAATACAGGATTCGTCAAAATTGTGACTCCTCAGAATCATGCTTAACTCATCAACACCATCAAGATCTGTTTCTTCTTCATAATACCTTAGAAAAGCCCTCACAACTTGTGGGGAAGGACGATATTTATCATTGGTGACATCTGAAAGCGCCGCCTCTAAGTGGCTCATAGCACCATCCAACTGGCGTTTCTCCAACAAAGACATCATGAACATTTCACGAATCCTAAAGAAAGGTCCTTTGCACCTCCGAATAGCCTCCTCAAAGATTGACACAGCTTCTTCAACCATGTTCTGACTCAAGTAAGCATACACTGCTACACCAGCCAACCTTGAATCATAATTCACATGCCTAGATTCCCACTCCTTAAAGCATTTTATTATCCCCTCCATATCATTAATCCTTTTAAGCGTAGAAAGCATAACAAGATAGCTCCGATTGATCACCGGCGATACCATTTTGAGCGACCTCCACACTCTATAAACCTCTGTAACATTACCAGTCCCACCATAAAGTCCCAACAAACAATGGTAAGCTTCACGTTGCCGCGGCTTCACTATCTCTTCCATCTTCTTAAGCATCAACTCTGCTTTCTCAAATTGTTCAGCTTTCACATAGATAGCAGCAACGTTACTATAAGTCTTCCAATCAATTTTCTCTTCGTCTTCCCTTTTCATCTCCTCATAAACACTTTCAACCCCATCAAGGTCATTCAACGCGGCGCAGCTATTCATCCAAACAACATACGTAAATCCAGTCATCCTAAGCTTCCTCTGCTTCATATGATTAACCAGCAGAGGTACTTTCGCAGGTTGACCTAACCTCATATACAATGCCATCATATTGGTAAAAGCCAAACTAGTTACATAACCTAATTCATCCATCTTCTCAAAATGCGACAATGCCTTGTCTAGCATTAGTTCCTTACAGTAACAGTTTAGAAGTGAACCATATGTGTACTTGTTCTTGGCAGAAGGAGGAAGACTGTTAAAGTAATTCTCAGCATCAACCAACCCTTTCACTTTGGAAACAAGATCTAAATGCACTGCATAGTTATCCCATGAAAAACTGATTTTCCTCATAATCATCCATTCCATTATCTGTAGCAATTCAAAAAAATCATTTTTTAAATATAAAAGCACTAACAATTGAAAATTTTCTTTGTTTACATAGAACTTAAATTACTTTTGCCCTATCTATGGATTGTGATGATAAAGCTTGATATGCATCGAAATTTAGAGGGAAAAATGATGAAAAATTGTGATACCTCAAATGCGTGATGAATTCTGCGATACTTTCGAAGCTCTTGGACGCATTTATCGAGTTCGCTTTTCCCTACGGCTTTGCCTTCCATGATATACTGGTTCAACGTCTGTGATACGGTTCCTCCGGTCTTTTCTAGCTCCGATAGTCTTTGGTAGAGATTGTACTTTTTCTTAGGAAGCTCAGCTACCGTAGACACTGGAGACGCGGTACATAGTCGCCGGAGAAGGCTTCCTCCGCCGGGAATTAAACGGCTGTAGTTCATCTTCGTTTATCTCTGATCGAGCGAGCCTCTGGTGGTGCTTTTAGCTATTCGTTATTTGTTGGAGGGGCATGTTAGGGTTTATCAAAGGGCAAAATATTATGTTAGGATTTATTGAATTACATGTAGGACAAATGTTAATTTAATTGAAAAAGAGAGGAAAAAATATTTAAAAAGAGCATTGATATATTAACACAACATTGGTATCAACCGTATTAGTCATTCTGATATTTGTAAAATATTTTACAGGTAAAGAAATCGAAACGATTAAAAGATTCGTGTATTTGCATGGGTCTCCGTCGTAAAATTCATTGTATTATGAGAAATAGATAATTTTTTAATATTTTTTTTTATCTTTTGCCTCAACCTTTTATATTATACTTCAGAAGTTGATAAGACAATAATCGTTTGAAGTGTTGTTTTCCAACTAATTGTTGTGTCGAACATAGTAAACACATATCTAGAAATAGATTTTCTGGAATCCATACAATCTGCGCAATCATAGTCGATAAATCCTTTGATTTCGATCTTCGCTATCATCACCACAGGCTCCACCATAAATCAGGACTCTGCTCAAATGCCCATTGATGTACCTAAGAATCCACTTTAATACTTGCTAATGCGCATTTCCAAGATTGACCATATACTTGCTTACAAAGCTCACTCCATATGATATGTCTAGCCTCGTACAGACCATAACATACATCAAAAAACCTATTATACTAACATATGAAATGTTATTCATATAAACTTTTTTGACTTCAATACTAGGACTTTGAGTCGAACTCGCCTTGTACTGAGGATTAGTCGGTGTTAGAACAAGCATTGAATTCGACATATCAAATTTGTCAAAACCTTCTTCAAGTATGCCTCTTGAGATAAGCATAATCTCGACTAATTTCTATCTCTCCGAATGCCAATCCCTAGAATTCAGGAGGCAGCTCCCAGATCCTTCATGTCGAACTCTTTATCGAGTTCAGTCTTCACCTTTATAACATCTTCGAAAATGTTGCTCGCTATGAGGATGTTATCCACATAAAGCAACAAAATAACAAGTGAATTTTTAGGTCAAAATCTGAAGTAAACATAGTGGTCGAACTAGCTCTTAGTGAGATCAATTTGTGCCATGAACTTGTCGAATCTTCTATTCCATTGTCGAGGAGAATGTTTTGGGCCATACAAAGACCTATTCAACTTGCGCACATAATCTTCCTTTCCCTTTTCTACATACCCTTCAAGCTGCCTCATTAGGATTGTTTCATCTAGATCGCCATACAGGAAGGTTGTCTTCACATCCATCTGTTCAAGTTCTAAGTCGAACTTCAGCATAGTGGCTAACAACATTCTAATGGATCTATGCTTTACAACAGGTAAGAACATATCATTGAAGTAGATACCTTCTTTCTGAGTGAACCCCCTAGCAACCAACCTTGCCTTAAAACGCTTCGACATCACTCCTTCGATTCATTCCTTAACCTTGAAGATTCACTTACAACTGACTAACCTGACCCCTGCAAGTTTCTCGATCAGCTCCCAAGTGTTATTATCATGAAGATATTTCATCTCGTTATCCATGGCTCTCATCCATTCATTCTTCTCTCGACTCCTTTTAACTTCCTTATAGTTTCTAAGTTCTTTGTCTAGAACCTCACTTGTAAAGATTAAGGCATAAGCTATAATATATGCACAACCAAGTCTCTGAGGTGGCTTGATGACTCTTCTCGACCTGTCTCTTGCCAGCAGGTCGTCATTACCAGTCTCTTTAGCTTCGGCAACAGATTTTGCATCTTCTTCGACTTTATCTGAGTCATGCAATTCAACATCATTATGCTCCACCTCAATAGGAATCTCTTCTTGTTCTAGCTCTTCTTCAGATATTTGTGCACTTCGACTAACTTCATTAATTTTCTTGAAATTCATCACATCTTCATTGAATATTACATATCGACTTGTGATACACCTCATGTGACCTAGCTTTAGGCACCACATCCTATAAGTTTTTACTCCTTTAGGGTATCTAAGGAACATACATCTTAGAGCTCTAGATTCAACCTTGTCTTGCCTAATATGAGCATAGGCTAAACAACCAAATACTCTAAGTCTGGCAAAACTAGGTGGGTGTCCCGATCAGACTTCTTCAGGTGTCTTCATTCCCAAGGCTGTCGAGGGACACCTATTTATCAAATATGTTGCAGTTACGACAACTTATGCCAAAAACACCTTCTTCAATCCTACACTTACTAACATGCATCTCACCCTTTCTAGAATGGTTTGATTAAACCTTTCAGCTAAACCATTTTGTTATGGAGACCCTACAATAGTTCTATATTTTGCAATACCAAACGCAACACAATAATTTTCGAAAGCCTCATTGCAAAGTTCAAGACCATTGTCGACCCTCAACCTCTTGACCTTCCTGCCAGTTTGGTTTTCGACCAGAGTCTTATAACTTTTTAAATTTTCAAAAGTTTCATCCTTAGTCTTTTGGATGAATACCCATAACTTTCTAGAATAATCATCAACTATGGATAGAAAATACTTTGCACCTGAGTGTGAAAGATTCTCTGCAGATCCCCAAAGATCAACATGAATGTAATCAAGAGATCCACGTGTTCTTTGTTTATCTTTATTAAACTTCATTCTACAGAATTTTCCAAGTACACAGGGTTCACAAAACTCTAGCTTTTCGACTTTGTTTCCCCCAAGCAGATTTTGTTTCCCCAGTTCAAACAGACTCCTTTCACTGACATGGCCCAATCTCATGTGCCAAATTTCTGTATTCGAAAAAGGTTTCGTGGATGCAACATCTGCAGAACCACTTACAACTTCAGCCTTAAGGGTTTACAAGACTTGTTTCTTCACATCTCTTAATACTTCCTTCGACCATTTCATTACCCTTAGATGTTTTGCTCTCCTTTGAAAATATATCCTTTATTGTCGAATTCACCAAGAGAAATTAAATTCCTCTTAAGATCAGGTACATACCTAATATCAGTCAATAACCTTATTGACTTATCATGGAGTTTGAATCTCACATATTCAATACCTGTAATTTAGCCAGCTTTGTTGTTTCCATTCTGCACTGATCCACCATCTTGACCATACAATTCCTCAAACACGTCTTTGTTTGGAGTCAAGTGCCAAGTACACCCTGAATCCATAATCCACTCCTTTCTAAAGTCATTACTTGAGACCAATAGGACATCAGACGATTCATAACCATCTTGCCCAATGGCGACATTGCCATTATCCTTTCCACCATGATTGTTCAGTCGATTAGGGCATACTTTTCTTGTATGAACCTCATTCTTACAAATATAACACTTAATAGTAGGAGCATTACCACCATAAGAATTCTGTAGAACTTTACCCTTCTTCTTCTCAAACCTACCATATTTCTTCAAGAATTTTCCCTTAACGAACAAATATTCACCAATAAAAGATGGCTTATGCTCATTTCATTCGTTCAAATCCTTAGAGTATAAGGCAAATTGAACATCTTCAAAGGTCAACGACTCTCTTCCATGCAAGAGAGTTTCTTTGAAGTGGGCATGAGACTTAGGTAAAGAGAACCACAACAACAACGCTTGATTTTCATCATCAATCTTGACCTCGATATTTTCAAGATCAAGAATTAACTTGTTGAACATATCCAGCTACTCAGCCAAGGCTCTGTCTTTACTCATCTTGAATAAATACAAAGCTTGTTTCAGATAAAGACGATTAACCAATGATTTCATCATGTACAAACCTTCAAGTTTTGTCCACACACCATCTACAATTTTCTCCTTTGAAACTTACCAAAGAAGCTTATCATCAAGGCTCAATACAAAGGCACAGTGGGATTTTTTACCATCGTTGTCTTCTCCTTCTCCGATAAGACAGTGTCCATCTTCTTTGATCCTTTCAACGCTTCTAACAAACCCTGTTGAACAAAAATGGTTTGCATCTTCAAGCGCCACAAACCAAAATCATTCACACCAGTGAATTTCTCAATCTCATACTTTGTTGACGATATTTTCTCCTCTGTTAGAATAATATTTGTTCATGACATATATTCCTTGGGTTTTGATAATAACAAAGTATTAAAAAAATAATAGTTATATTTGATGTGTGTTTCATGTATGCAAGTTCTAATACATGTAAATACACACACACACACACACACACACACACACACACACCCACACCCACACACACACACACACACACACGCACACACACACACACACACACACACACACACACACATATATATATATTTAGAATTTGATATACAAGGGCACACTTGAGAGAAGCTAAATTGCTAGCTTCTAGTGGTGCAGAATCTGAAGAACACTCTCTATGTGATGCATGGCGTAGACTCTGAAGCTGAAGGTCTCAATATTAGAAGAAAAAACATTATTGTGTCTACACTTGGTAAATGTAAATTAGCTTCTGGTGATCATTCAGAGTTAGTGATAAAGCTGAAACTATTTGTACTGTAGAAAACAAGTTGCATTGTCAAATCAGTTTTTCAGCTAGAGTCTTAGTTCACAGGGCTCGAGAAAAGTTGGCATGCTTTATGGATATATACTCTCAACGTTTCTATAGTACATGATATCTTTGAAGACTCAATGGTTAAACATGATGCACAATAGATCAAGATCTTTTGGTCTATCTATCTTCAACCTAATGGAGGAGTAACAAGATCAACAAGTATCAACATAATGGGTTATTCAGAATTTTTGTTGTAGGTTGTAATTGTAAAAGCCTTAAGATTTCTTAAACATCGAATATCTTATAAATCTTAATAGCTTTAGGTCTTTGTTATGGTGATTTTCTTGGACCTCTGATATTTGTATTAAGTACACCTTGTTCTCTATTTTGCTGAATAAGTTGTTTAGCAGTTTAGATCAAAGTCTTTCGCCAAGATGTTTGAGCCATGTAAGTCTCATGCTATGTACTAGAGAAATGAAAGTCTTAATCAAATAGATTGATTCAACAAATCCAATTCTCTCTCCAAGATGTTTGAGCAATGTAAGTCTCCTGCTATGTGTTATAGCATTGAAAATATTAATAAAGTGGATTGATTGAGCATAAATCTTGGATTCGTGGAACCTGAGCAAGGAAGTCTCGGATCGAGGTTCTGAGCAGAAGTCTTAAGCATGAGGAGCTTAAGCAGGAAAGTCTTAGGCTGCGGTCTAAGCAGGAAGTCTTGAACTTGAGGGGTTTAAGAAGGAAGTCTTGCACCAGAGGGGCTTGAGTAGGAAGTCTTGGGTCTAAGGGATCTGAGAAGGAAAGTCTTAGGCTGAGGGTCTAAGTAAGAAAGTCTTGACTTTGTAGGACTTGAGCAAGAAAGTCCTAAGCCTTAGGGGTTTAAGCAAGAAGTATCGAACTTAGGGTCTGAGTATTATAAAAGTCTTATGCATAATGTATAAACGATTGTAATCATGATTTGGTTATAGTGAAAATCTCTTTTGAAGCAAGGGGATTGAACTACTCTCATTTGGGAGGAACCAATATAAATCTTTGTGTCTTTTGCTATTATTTATTTACTTCTGTTAACATTCTGCTGCTAAGTATAACCAGAATCTGAACAATAGTTTAGATTCTGAACTTTGATCAAACGTAAATTAAGAAAATGGAAAACACAATTCAACCCCCCTTCTTGTGTACTTTTTCTCACCTTCATCCTCCACGTTCAACACACTAGTTTATTGTGAATTGATGTCGTCAAAAATAAATCAAAATATGAGAAAAATATTGAGTTTCTTGAACAAACACAAGAAACCCTATTAGGCTTTACAAAAGATATAGAAGAAGGAAGAATAAGAATAAGAGTATGTTAAAACTATTTTTCTATTCACTTACTCAATAAGGGTTCAAAGATTACAAGAAAACACAAACAATTAACCTCTCTCAAAAACCTGAGAGAACTAGTCTATTTATAGACTACTAAGCTATCTTAGGCTACAAGCTAACTTAACAATTGAGCTTACAACCAAGACTCAATTCGACATGCTAACTTAAACACAAAGCTAACATATTTCGACAACATGCTTGAACAGACTTCAACTACAACATGCACAACTCCTGTCGAACCATGAAGTTATCCTTGTCGAGTTCGATCCAAATACCACATGTTTCTTAGACACCACACGAAATTCCAAAAATGTCCTCAATTTCCGAAGATACATCTCTAGACGTACCTCTTACACACATTTCATTTATTTTTGAGCCAGGCCCCAATTGTATGAATAAATTTATTTCAGAAATGCATCTCCGAAAAATTTTCGGAAATGTATTTCTGGAATCTCTTAAATAATGCAGATTTAAGAGATTTTGGAAATACATTTTTGGAGATGCATTTCCGGAATAAATTTATTCATATGATTGGGATTTGATTCAAAAACGAATAAAAATGTGTGTAAGAAATATGTTCGGATGTGCATCTCTAAAAATTGGAGACATTTTTAAAATTTCACAAGGTGTCTAAAAACTATATAGGATCTATTAAGAATATCTCTCCCTCAAAACTCCCCAGGCCCACACAAACCATGTAGAATTCTCATCCAAAAGTACAATAGCAGGTGCCCACGGATAACCACATAAAAAAATCTATCTACGCCCAATCTACAAACAGACACCTTATGAACAACCAAATGTGCTCCCACCCACTTGCACACACGCTACACTTTAACTACATGCTAAGAGCATTTTTAATGGGAGTAAACTAAATGGGTAAACTAAGATACTTTTTGTGGGCCCAAAGTGATTTGTAGGATTTAAAATATTTATAGTTGATTTGAGTTGTTTTTACTTTAATGATGGTTGCTTGTAAAAAACCAAAACTTGACCCCACATTTTATAGTTGTTGGAGCTTTATGATATTTTAATAATATAAAACAATAATAAAATAATAATAAGAGTCATTGAGAATGGATAGTGTGTGTTGGTTATATAGTTTACTCCCACTAATTGTTAGTTCACTTACTGCCATATCATTCTTATTCCAATGCAAATTATTTATAAATACCGTTACTATTAAAGAATTTAATACTAAGGAACCTGCACTAAAGATGCGCAACTAAAGATTGACTCCATAAGCTCACATTTCCTCACCAGAACCACACCATGTATCACATATCAGCTCAACAAATCTTACTTAAGAAATAATTTTTCCATTGCATAAAAAGTATCTTATTAAATTTATTAAATTAACGTGCGACTCTTAAAAAAATAATTAGATGTGTTAATTTTAATGATAAAATTAATATTTTTTATTAAAATATACTCATAAATTATAATTAATAGAATAATTAAATAAAATAAAAATTAATGAATAAAGATAGATTAATGAAAATAATAAATACTACATTGTTTTTGTAAATGTAAAGAGGAAATTATTTTGAGATATAAATGAGATACTTTTATGAAAAAAAAAAATTTAAATGCACGAAATTTTTCGAACTTTTAAATTGCCATAAAATTCTCTCACTTTTTCCTCCAAAGTGTCTAAATGCAAATGAATAAAGGATTAAATAATTTTTTCAAAAAATTATATATTAATTTTACCTAAAAGTAATAACAAATTTTTTTATTATTTTTTACAACACAAATCTTTTATTTGTAGATTTTTTAAGGGCAAATAAGTTAACATAACTCATGTTTTTTATTCTTTAATTATACTAGTAAAACTATCTATTAGATTTAAATAAAGAGTTAAACAATTTAATAAATTTTTAAACTTTGCTGGAAGAATTAAATCAATCCATATTTAAAAGGATAAATTGTACCAAATCTATTAATTATTAATTTTCATAGTGAATGATTTGATGAATTTTGATTTAATAAATTTAATGGTCACCTATATCAATTCACAATTTTCAAATAGAATGTTCAATTAATATCTTTCTTTATCTTTCACTTGAAGATGGAAATACCCGTAACCGGTAACCTAACCGAATGCACAGTTAAAGTGAAGCGTGGTTAGTCAGTTTAGTTGTTACAGTTGAGAAGAAATGAAGGCGTCGGGTATTACTGGTGCTGCTCTCCCAAACCTTTATTCCACTGTAATTCCTAACCGTCGATTGTCTGTTTCATTCGCTTCTGCTTCGCCATCAGGACCCAAAACGGTTAGTTTTTTCTGATTTTCTTTTTCATATTCTTGCTGCGAGTTAATTAGTATAGAAATTTTGCTTCAATTGTGTGGATTGAATCAGGTGGAAGTTACAGCTCCGAAGATCGAATACAAGCCCACAGTTTTGGATGATTTGTTCCTCAATTTGTTTCGCAACAAATTGGTACAGGTAACGAAAACCCTTCTAGCTGCATTATTTATTTATTTATTATTCTTATTCTTATTATTATTATTATTATTATTATTTTGCTGTTTTGGAAAATATATGGATATATGGTTAATGTGGTGGCTAGGAGGTAGGATGGGACTCGAAGAAATCTGGATATGATGGACTAATTGAAGTTGCAAATCGTCTAATGATGAAAGGCACTACAAATTCCCATACCATAGAAGCTACGGTAATTTCTTCTTTCACAATCTTTATCAGAGCAGTTTCTGGAGGCACTGTGTAGTATTTTCACATAGGCCCTAATTAACCATGTTTTAGTAAGGACAAAGATTTTATGAGGCCCTTTATAGGTACGGTTTAATCATGACATATTTTGGGCCATGTGCTGCAGGCTGTCTTGTACGGCCTCAAAGACGTATTTTCTCTTCACAAGTGTTGGAACCTTAATTAATTAATGGTGGAACTTTAATTAATTATAGTGGGAATTGGAAACATTTGTTGACAATTAATGAGCAATAAATGAACACAAGTGAGAACTAATATAGAAGTGAATTTGAAAAGATTCATTTTAGTCCCACATTGAAGGGAATGGAAATATTAGTCGTGTTTAGATGAATTATTTTTTGGACCCGAATTTATATAATTTAATTATCATTAATTAATTAATATAATTCGGTGGAAAATTAATTAATAATAAATATTAATTAATTAAGAAAATAATTGGTCAGTCAGTCCTCCACGAATTTCTCAGTCTCCCACCATTTTCTCCACTCCCCACGAATTTCTCAGTCTCCCACCATTTTCTCCATTCCCCACGAATTTCTCCCCACTCAGGTGCAGTTTGCTGCCTATAAATACAGGGTAGAAATTCAGAAGTGGGTACATCGGATTTCACAAATTCACACGAATTTTGATTTCCCTCCTCTCTTTCTCATTTCTCTTCATCTCAAAAACTCTCTTTTCTTGACTGGTTACTTTAACCAGATACTTTGAAAGGTGTATTTCTAGAGCGATTTATCAGTGTGCAACTGATAATCGTAAGTTTTAAGAACGGGCTGTTTTATCCTGGAGACGTCGTCGTAAATTCGACTGCTTTGCATAATTTGGCAGTACGACGAAACGTCTTAAAGAAAGCGACCTAGTACGCGACTCGTCCCGATAATTTCCTTGTGCCAAACGCTATTTTTTCAAATCCGAAAACAACAATTTTAAGACGATTTCATAACTGCCATGGCAACTGAGGAAATTATCGGTACTACTGCGGCCGCTTCGGTCTCTGACAAACCTTTCAGGTTTGAGGGTTCCAATTTCAAACGTTGGCAAGCTAAGATGAAATTTTTCTTAACTCTGAAAAAGGTTTGAGGGTTCCAATTTCAAACGTTGGCAAGCTAAGATGAAATTTTTCTTAACTCTGAAAAAGGTTGCCCACGTTCTGACTGAGGATATCCCGGTTGTCCCTTCTGCATCATCTGAACTACCTAACGGTAACTCACTTGCAGATTCAGACGGGACTTCCAAAATATCTGACTCAGATGCTGCAAAAGCTAAGGCTGCAGCAGATGATCTACAGCTCCGAAAAGAAATCGCCTTATGGCACGAGAATGATTATCTGTGCAAAAATCACATTCTGAACAGCCTTGCTGATGATCTGTACGACTACTACAGTAGCTACAGGACTGCTAAACAGGTTTGGGAGGCTCTGCAAAGAAAATATGATACTGAAGAAGCAGGTGCGAAGAAATTTGCTGTCAGCCGCTACTTGAACTACAAGATGGTGGATGAGAAGTCGGTGGAAGCTCAAAGCCACGAAATACAAAAGATTGCTCATGAGATCATTACAGAAGGTATGCCCCTCAATGAACAATTTCAAATTGCTGTAATTATTGACAAACTGCCCCCTGGTTGGAAAGATTTCAAAAATGTGCTTCGTCACAAAACAAAAGAATTTTCAATCGAGAGTCTGATAACTCGCCTCCGAATTGAAGAGGAGGCTCGGAAACAAGATCAGAAAGAAGAAGTCTTAGTTGTGTCTAACAACAAAAAGAAATTCGGTGCGGTTCTGAAGCCTACGGGCAAACCTTTAAAGAATCAGAACCGCAATGCTATGAACCGAATTAAGAATGGGAATCCCTCTAGGGCCCCATCGGCTCCATTTGCTAAGCAACAGCCACCACCTCAAAGAAATGATGCTCCGGTTTTCACTTGCTATAATTGTGGGAAACCGGGCCATATGGCAAAGAAATGTAGGAGCAGGCCTAAACCTGCAGCTGGCTCAAATGCTCAGGTCAACCTGACTGATGAGCAACTCATTGCCATGATCACTGAAATCAACATGGTTGGTGGAAGTGATGGTTGGTGGATAGACACTGGCGCCACTCGTCATGTCTGCTATGATCGTGCTATGTTCAAGACATACATGAATGCTGAAGATAAGAAAGTGTTGTTGGGAGATGCTCACACCACTAATGTTGCTGGAATTGGAGATGTTGAGCTGAAGTTCACTTCAGGAAAGACTTTGATCTTGAAGGACGTCATGCATGTTCCTGAAATTAGGAAGAATCTTGTTTCTGGTTTTCTTTTGAATAAGGCTGGGTTTAGTCAAACTTTAGGGGCAGATTTATACACCATCACTAAGAATGGTATTTTTGTTGGAAAAGGGTACGCCACTGATGGCATGTTTAAGTTGAATGTTGATTTGAATAAAATTTCTCCTTCTGTTTACTCTGTGTGTGACTTCAATATTTGGCATGGTAGACTTTGTCACGTTAATAAACAAATTCTTTCTAATGCAAGCAACATAGGCCTAATCCCTAAACTAAATGTTAATGATTCCAATAAATGTGAATTTTGCAGTCAAGCTAAAATAACAAAAACTTCACATAAGTCAATTATAAAAGAATCTGACCCCCTAGATCTTATACACTCTGATATATGTGAATTAGATGGAAGTTTAACTAGAAATAATAAACGTTACTTTATCACTTTTATTGACGATTGCTCTGATTATACTTATGTATATCTAATGAAGAATAAAAGTGAAGCGCTTGACATGTTTAAGGTGTATGTAACTGAAATTGAGAATCAATTTAACAAGAAGATTAAGAGACTTCGCAGTGATAGGGGAACCGAATATGACTCTAGCTTGTTTAATGATTTTTATGCTGAACATGGTATTATACATGAAACGACTGCTCCATACTCTCCTGAAATGAATGGTAAAGCAGAAAGAAAGAATAGGACTCTTACTGAACTTGTAGTTGCAATCATGTTAAATTCTGGTGCTGCACCTCACTGGTGGGGGGAAATTTTATTGACTGTTTGCTATGTCCTGAATAAAGTTCCCAAGTCGAAAAGTAAGATCTCACCTTATGAGATATTAAAGAAAAGACAACCAAATTTGTCTTATTTGAGAACTTGGGGCTGCCTGGCTTATGTCAGAATTCCGGATCCGAAACGAGTTAAACTCGCTAGTAGAGCCTATGAATGCGTATTCATTGGGTATGCAGCAAACAGTAAGGCATACAGGTTTTATGACCTAAATGCCAGAGTAATCATAGAATCAAACGATGTTGAATTCTTTGAAGACAAATTTCCCTTCAAATCGAGAAATAGTGGGGGCACACAATCGAGTCACATTCCTGTGATAAAAAACACTGAAAGCAGCGACAATGTAGAAACAGAGCTTCGAAGAAGTAAAAGAGCAAGAGTTGCTAAAGACTATGGGCCCGATTATGCGGCCTATAATGTAGAAGAAGATCCAATAAATCTTCAAGAAGCACTGTCATCTATGGATGCAGACTTATGGCAAGAAGCCATTAATGATGAGATAGATTCTCTAGAATCTAACAAGACCTGGCGCTTAGTAAACTTACCTCCGGGTTGCAAACCAATTGGTTGTAAATGGGTTTTGAAAAAGAAACTAAAACCTGATGGAACGATTGAGAAATACAAGGCACGCCTTGTAGCCAAGGGTTTTAGACAAAGAGAAAATATAGATTTCTTCGACACCTTTTCTCCAGTCACTAGAATTACATCCATTAGGGTACTCATTTCAATAGCAGCCATTTATAACTTAATAGTACACCAAATGGATGTTAAAACAGCTTTTTTAAACGGTGACTTAGAAGAAGAAATCTATATGGAACAACCAGAAGGATTTGTAATCCAAGGACAAGAAAGCAAGGTCTGTAAGTTAGATAAGTCTCTGTATGGACTAAAACAAGCCCCTAAACAATGGCATGAAAAGTTTGATAACTTAATGATAATTAATGGGTACAAAGTGAATGAAAGTGACAAGTGCGTCTATTACAAATCTGAGAATCGCATTTGTACTATCATATGTCTATATGTAGACGATCTACTTATATTTGGATCAAACATTCAGGCCATTAATGATATGAAATCATTGTTATGCAATAACTTTGATATGAAAGACCTCGGAGAAGCAAGCGTGATCCTGGGTATCAAGATCACGAGATCCGAACAAGGAATTTCTTTGGATCAATCTCACTATGTGGAGAAGATCTTAAAGAAATATAAATACTTTGATTGTAAACCTGCATGCACTCCGTATGATCCAAGTGTGAAACTATTTAAGAACACTGGAGAGAGTGTCAAACAAGCAGAATATGCGAGCATCATTGGTAGTCTTAGGTATGCCACTGATTGTACTAGACCCGACATTGCATATGTCGTAGGACTGTTGTGCAGATTTACAAGTAGGCCGAGTAATGAACATTGGCAAGCTATTGAGCGAGTAATGAGGTACCTGAAAAGGACTATGGACCTCGGCCTACACTATCAGAAATTTCCTGCTGTACTAGAAGGGTATAGTGATGCAGATTGGAACACCTTATCGGATGATTCCAAAGCTACTAGTGGTTATATATTTAGTATAGCCGGAGGAGCTGTATCTTGGAAATCAAAGAAACAGACCATTCTGGCACAGTCCACAATGGAGTCTGAGATGATAGCATTAGCTACAGCTAGTGAAGAAGCAAGTTGGTTAAGATGCTTGCTAGCTGAGATTCCTTTATGGGAAAAACCTATACCAGCTGTGTTGATCCACTGCGATAGTACCGCGGCTATTGCAAAAGTTGAGAACCGTTATTATAATGGTAAAAGACGTCAAATTAGAAGAAAACATAGCACTGTTAGAGACTGTATCTCTAAAGGAGCTGTGAGAGTGGATCATGTACGCACTGATGAGAACTTAGCAGATCCTTTGACGAAAGGATTAGCTAGAGAGAAAGTCCATAATACATCCAAAAAGATGGGACTAATGCCTATGAAGCAATTAGTTACTCATGATGGTAACCCGACCTAAATGACTGGAGATCCCAAGACTTAGGTTCAATGGGTAATAACAAGTTATGAGTAATATGAAAATGATCATGCAAGTAAAGCATGAATCCTGAAGTAATGAGAGGATGAGATAATAGAAACTCTTAATGAGATCTATACTCTGTATGAGGGAGTACCTAGGCTACAGGAGTACTCTTGATAGATTCACCTATGTGACTGTGGAACTAGGCCGGTTCCTATGGAATTTCGAGGCAGAATTCCTAGAGCATTCACTAAACCGGGATACACGTGCAGGGCCACTAAAGCACGGGCTACAAGAATACACCTTACGGAAAGGTTGTGTGCGGGTCTGATGTCCGAGATAGAGTTCAAGACAATGGTGTCACTCTTGTTGAATCAGAATCCTACTCGCTACGCTAAGGTTCAAGTCGTAGACACCTTTGCTTATGCTCAACCTGAGAAACGTCTGACGTACTTCTAAAATCTCTTTTAAATTCAAGTGGGGGAATGTTGGAACCTTAATTAATTAATGGTGGAACTTTAATTAATTATAGTGGGAATTGGAAACATTTGTTGACAATTAATGAGCAATAAATGAACACAAGTGAGAACTAATATAGAAGTGAATTTGAAAAGATTCATTTTAGTCCCACATTGAAGGGAATGGAAATATTAGTCGTGTTTAGATGAATTATTTTTTGGACCCGAATTTATATAATTTAATTATCATTAATTAATTAATATAATTCGGTGGGAAATTAATTAATAATAAATATTAATTAATTAAGAAAATAATTGGTCAGTCAGTCCTCCACGAATTTCTCAGTCTCCCACCATTTTCTCCACTCCCCACGAATTTCTCAGTCTCCCACCATTTTCTCCACTCCCCACGAATTTCTCCCCACTCAGGTGCAGTTTGCTGCCTATAAATACAGGGTAGAAATTCAGAAGTGGGTACATCGGATTTCACAAATTCACACGAATTTTGATTTCCCTCCTCTCTTTCTCATTTCTCTTCATCTCAAAAACTCTCTTTTCTTGACTGGTTACTTTAACCAGATACTTTGAAAGGTGTATTTCTAGAGCGATTTATCAGTGTGCAACTGATAATCGTAAGTTTTAAGAACGGGCTGTTTTATCCTGGAGACGTCGTCGTAAATTCGACTGCTTTGCATAATTTGGCAGTACGACGAAACGTCTTAAAGAAAGCGACCTAGTACGCGACTCGTCCCGATAATTTCCTTGTGCCAAACGCTATTTTTTCAAATCCGAAAACAACAACAAGTCAAAAGCATGGTTTCAAAATGTTCATGTTCAAACTATTTTCCTCCGTAGTTTAACAACATATGTATTGCTCCGTAAAATCTTTGTGATTTTTATTTTAATGATTTCAAATGAATTAGATATCTCTAGTGTGTTGTGATAGGTACGAATTTTGAGGTCTCTATTTCCTCCATTCCTTTTGGAACTCTATAAAATGCTCATAGCTCCTCTAGGAGGAGGCAAAGTTGCTGCTATAATGGTTGGTGAGTCTGATAAGATTACGTCTCATTTTTCAATTCTTCAAGATGATGTTCCTCTGAATGTAACAAGCTAGTGAGAAACTTTTTTGGAGATATCCTAAAATCATTTAAGTTTTGAAGCAAGGGTTACTGCACTTACATGCCAATGGCTCATGGGACCCTGCAAAGTCAACTCTGTAGACCTACTGGATGGAAACTCGTGCAATAGCGGGGTGATCGCTTATACCTTTCTCGGTGTTTGATCTTTATGATTAAATAATAACATCATTGTATTCTTGAGACTAGAGTGATGTATATTCATAAAAAAATTTAGGTGTATGTGGAAAGATGCAAGTATCTAGAGGAAAGCAAGTGTGTTGGTATATGCCTTAACACCTGTAAGTTTCCAACACAGGTTAGTGATTCTTCAAATTCCTATCATTTTCTTCTCATGTTATCTTTTTAATCTTAATAACCAGCTGGTTTTCAAGGGAAGGGACTAGGGTAATCTAGAGTTCGATTGAGTAACTATAATCTGGCCAATGATTGATTCAGTCTGAATTCGAACTCAGATTCTTCTGAACAATTCGTCAATAGCTAAATCTCATTAACCACTTTAAACCGATTTCTTAGTTTTTCATGTTATTATAAGAGTTAAGAATATTGTGCCTACTTTAAAGCTATTGCATTTATGGATGGCTGGTTCTGACTCTATTTTCAATCTAGACCTTCTTCAAGGATCATATGGGAGTTCCTTTACTAATGGAGCCCAACTTTGCTGATTACAGTTGTCAGGTAATATCGAGTAATCTCATTGAGAGTCTAAATTTGTACGATGAGGTTGCTAAGGTTACTATTTTCTTTGACGTTTTCAAATTGCAGTTCAAATTTGGAGTGCTTCCCCCACTGCCTGAAGATGACGCGGTCCTGAAGGAGCCTTGCTTGGAAGCATGCCCGATTGCTTCCCAACGAAGAATGGCTGCCAGAAACATAGGTGCCACTGCTTGCCCAAAGACATGAACATATTTTTCTTAGGCATTGAGCTTTGAAAGCATTGATGTGCACTTTCCTACCTCCTGCATATTTTAGCCTCGACTTATGGTTGAAGATGGAACTGAACGCATGAGCTTTCGTCATAAAGTTAATTCGTCTTTGACTAAGTTCATATTTGAAATTATCAATGTAACTCATCTGTGTAATTAGATAGCTAAATTAGCTTTAGACTTAAATTTATATTTTTGTGAATTATGAATGTTTTTTTCTGAATGTATACATTGATAGCATCAGAATTGCTTTGTACTGTCAAACAGGGTGTGGGAATATATTTCTTTCTCCCAATCACCGTTTCTCATTTACATTGCTACAACACTCACTCACCCATTGCTCGCATTTTTTTGTGTGCTCCCTTGTGAATGTTGCTTGTTTCTTTCTCCTGATCACTATTTCTCACTTACATTACTACAACACTCATGCTCACCCATAAATCACATGTTTAGAAATTTGTGGGTTTAAACTTCATGTAATACCCAGTGAAATTCTCCCCAAACCTTTCGAGAGTCCCTCAAATGTTTAATTGTTTTTGTGTATTACTATTAGGTGTAAAGAATTGGAAGCTAGCTTGAAGGAGCAAAAAGCAATGCACCAGAAGCCAATGAAGCAAAGCTATCAAGGAACTCACTAATAGAGTTTTTCGCGAAGAGTCCTTGGATTAGTGGTTGCAAGACAGTTAACACCTACTTCTTAGCGCCAAAAGGAAGCTCATGCATTAATCAATCATCCCTTTGATTAGCAGATGAAGGTCATCAAGATTTTTCTATAAATAGGAATTAGAGGGCATCAAAACAAAGGAGTCTTGTTATTTTGTACACCAGTAATCTACATAGAGATAACAAGCATCATATGTGAGTATTTAAAGACAAATCGAGATGGATAGGCAAGCGAGTTTGAGGGATCCTTCTTGAATGACATTTCATCTCATATGTTTCACTTGCAAAATAAATCGGGAGTATTCTAATGTATTACTCTTGATCATGTTATTATATTTCCTAATAAAGAATAATGAATCAAGATCACTTGTTTCTTGGTGTTTGTTCTTTTCTAATATCTAAGTAATTTACAAAGCTTATAAATTCAAAGTGACACAACAATAAAACAACTTAATAATAGTATATGCGTGTGAGGGTTAAATCATTTGGAGTTTTCATTTATATATAATTAAAGATTATGAATTGTTTTACGTATCTTCCTAGTCAACAATTTTCCCGTTTGAAAATGATTTTTTTTGCAATGTTTTAAAAATCGAAGCGAACTGATCGGACTGAAGATGAATTTGGTTGGGTCAATCTTTTAAAAGTGTTAGCGAGTCAAAAATAAAGTTAATCGGAAAAATCGAATTGAACCATTTAAAATCATTCGAACCAAAGAACCGGAGCCAGTTTTATAAAACCGACCAATTCAAAAAAATTCATCAAATCAACCATTTAAAAAATTTTTAAAAGAAATTTTAATAGGTTAACATCAAAACTTAACGCATATTTTCTAATCACAAAAATAAATAAATTCCGTGGGTCTTTTACAACCATACAAACTTATAAGTTTTGTCACTCAATTATAGTTTTTCTTTCGACCACACTCTATCATCATCCTGCAGGCTCTTTCAAACATAGTCACAATGTTCAACTTTATTGATTGTCGTTCAAGTCAATATTATTTGTTGTTATCTATTTATTGTAATTTTTTAGTTTGGTAAAAATATTCTTAAATGATATTTGAATAATTTTTTAGTTTGGTAAAAATATTCTTAAATGATATTTGAAATGGAAGGCAGAACTATGTTGTATTATGTATTATTGATATTGTTGTATTAAATTTGTAATAGATTTTTAAAATATTTATTTTATTAAGTTGAGAACATATAATAATGTGTGATATATCTATAAAATTTAATTTTATATTATTAATTTATTTAATAAATAATTCGTCCATAGATTTAATTGGTTTAACCAATTGACCTTTAAATGGTAAGTTTCACCCGTTCAATATTCTATGTAATTTTTTAAACATTGATTCTTTGATGTTTTATCCTTATACATTTATTCTTTATAGTGATATTTATCTTCTTATTCATTGTACTGAAATAGTTGTCATAATCTGACCAATAAGAACAATAAATGGTGTAGGAGACCAGTTTTTCGATTAGGCATAAATAATTACTGGCATTGAGATATATAATGATTTCTTCATTTGGGTGCATATGATAATATAAATCTAGTTGGTAAAATTTGTTGTCTATGGTATAGATGATAAATTCTTATAGACACGATCAAGTCTTTATTTCCTGCGAATAATTGCAAATAATCTACTCATGAAAACAAAAAAACATTAGAGTATAATTTTCTTATTAATCGTATTTTTATCATTAGAAAACATACAAATAAATTTTATTATTCTCTAAAACATATTTGATTTAACACATATTTAATTGTATTTAACACATATTTGATTTAATTGTATTTTTTCTTACTACATGTACTAATTTGACTAACATTTAACATTTTTTTCTTTAAAATAATTAACTATTCTATAATATATATATATATATATATATATATATATATATATATATATATATATATATATATATATATATATATATATATATATATATATATATATATATATATATATATATATATATATATATATATATATATATATATATATATATATATATATATATATATATATATATATATATATATATATATATATATATATATATATATATATATATATATATTAGTCTTTCAACTTATTTTTATTGACTTTGCTATCAAATGTTTAGTTGATACCATATCACAAACATAATATCAAATTTTTTCTATAAATATATAATTATGAATGATTGTTAACTTAACATGAATCATGCAATTCAAGGTAAAAGGTTTTGAAGTGTGTTAAAAGATTAATTGTAAAAGGAATTTCACAATTGAATATATTTCATCAATGTTCATTTCTCATGTTATAACTAATATTATTTTTTAATTTAATTCTTGAAATTTGCTGTTTTAAATTCTTCCTTGAGGTAGTAAGTTATTAATTAGACTTTTATGAAATAAATGTTTTGAGCTGTTTATGAGTCAAACGACAACTTTCTAAACTTCCTAAAATTGGTTATTTAGAGCAGCGTTTTAAACATTCCTAATATACATGATACTTTTATGTATTAATGTTGTATTATATTTGTTTTTCTTTTTAATTCGGTTTACAATGTGAGTTAGGTGATCTATAAAGTTTCTACAACTATTTAAACTAAATATTATATTAGTTTATTATTTTATTTCAATAATGCAAAAATAAATAATAATTCCATTTTTAATCTATACCTAAATTACTTGACTTAGTTCAGTGGTACGACCCACAACTTTTAACCACATGGTTATGGTTCGCGGTTCCCATAATTGGCGTGATTATTTTTTCTTTTTATTGAACCAATCAATACTTAAAATATTGATTTCAAAAATTATTTTCTTAAAATAAGAGTTTTTATAAAAACGGGACAGCAAAAATCTATTAGAATATGTATTGGATCAATATCACGGATTACACAATATTCACACTGAAATATAAAAATGAGAATTTTAGACAATCAATAAATTAATCAATACAAATTTAATTTATATAACATGTTTAAATTTAATTTTATTAATCAATAAACTATTCTAATATTACAAGTTACTAACCAATATAATCACTAGAAAAAATGAATAAGATGATTTAATCTTTTGTAGACACACCTGAAACAACAAAACTAGTACTACCTTTCTTCATTTTTGGGGGTATGATTTCATTAAAAGTAATATGAACAGACTCTTCAATAAAAGATGTTTTATGATTGAACACCATATAAATCTTACTAGATGAGGAAGACCTAAGAAATATTCTCACATAATCTTCAACATCAAATTTGTCTAGCTTGTCCGCGAAGCCAGAAATTTTTTGAAGTCTAGGCAAAAATTTAAAGACTGCAAATTCACATTGTATATAATTAGGGCCGACAATGAACCGAATCAACTTGAAAACAGTTTAGAACTCGGTTCGACAATTAGTTCGTTGAACTTGGTTCATGAATCTAATGAGCTGAATATGAGTGAAAAACTAAGTTTGTTAACTAAATGAGTTGAACTTTAACTATACATAGTTGGACTCGTTAGACTCATGAGCCAACTCGATTATATACGAGAAGGATTATATTATCTTTAAGAGTATGTTGAAAGATTTAATATAAATTTTAACCTTATATTTTATTTTAATCTAACGGTTTTAATGTACAATTTATATTCTCAAGTGAGCAAAATATTTCTAAATATAGTTACTCAAATAAAATTAGCATCATATTAATTAATTAACTTTTGAATTAGTGGATTTTAGAGACAAAGTTAAATTCCAATATAATAACTTTTATTTTATTTCAATATTTTTCTTTTAAAATAATATTAATTCAAAATGTCAAATATGTAAAAAATAGACTTTAAAAAATGACTTTTAAGTCCGTGAATTAAGCGAGCTAAACCTAACAAGATGAACCTAACGAGTCGAACCGAGTTGCTCGTGAACTTATAATGAGTCGAGTTTGAGCTTAAAAAAGAGCTTGTGTCAAACTCTAACAAGGATTTGAGCCGAACCAATTCTTAACGAGTCGAGTTGAGTTGAGGCGTGTTCGACTCGACTTAACTCATTTCCAGCCCTATATATAATATATAAATAGTTATCAATCAAAATAAAAGATCTTTAATTAAATTGATCTCGACAAAATTTTAAAACTAACATAGTCATATCCAATTTGAGGTTAATTCTAACATTGGAACATCATTTCATGTGATTCATGAAATTAGCAGCAAGTTAACAAAACAAAATTTTATTTGCTAACTACTGTTATTATAAATTAAATTTAAAAAATAAATTCTTAGTTAACATAAATTGAACCATATAATTTATATAAAGTGAACATAAATTGAAGT